CCCCCCTCGGTCGGCTTCTGTAGATTGACAGCTGAGACGCTAAGGAATTGGCCCGCAATGAGAGGTGAGTCCATTTTCCTGTTTGCATTCATGCATTGGTTGTTCAATCAAGAGAGTCAAATTACTGGCCAGATTCAAGCAAAGAAAACCGCTGAGGAGATTGCTGAAATCACCAGAACTGGGTCTGACTGAAAAATTGAAATTGAAGGCTGACTCTGAGAAATTCATTTATTTGGAGGAATAACGTGATGAATGTGGCATGCTTGTTAATGAAGACAAAAGCAAATTTGATTGCGAAAGTATGATCGAAAGGAGGAACAAGACACAAGACCTTCTGAGCCATCATAATGAGATTTGTCCGTCCCTCCACTTTGTGAATAAGTTTTACTTGTTTTTGGGTGTCTTCTCACAGGCTGCGAGTGGAAATGGGACGGAAGAGCCGTACAGCAGCTGAACAATGTGTGCGTTGCCGCAAGACTGGCGTACGAAAGGAAGAACACATGCTGTGCTGTGCCCTTGCACGGAGATGTCCGCTGAACTGAGCTCACTCTCTGTAAACGCTGATAAAAGAACTTTCGCGATTAGATGTTTGTCTTGCGCTATTGGAGCACCCGCAAGGTTCTATGAATGATGACTGAATGATGTGATGACGTATTTTTAATTGTGTATTTACCTGTAATATTTCTTTTTTATTTGTTCATTTGTATGTGAATTTTTTTTGTGTGTTGTGTGGACTGAATGTTTTGTCTTTTGTGCCAAAATAGCTGATGAACAAAATGCCCGGCTTTTGTACTGTGCTTCTTTTCTGTTTGGAGTGGTATCTTTTTTTGTGTGTTGTGTCAGCTCCCACCAAATCAATGTGCCGATGCTTTTTAAAAATCTGAATGGATAGATGTTCTCAGAGAATGTATGCGTATGCCTGCCTGCTGTGTGCACTTGGGAAGAATGAATGAACTGAGTACAAGTTGGTCTTCATACTTTTTTTTTTTTTGCCAACTCATTTACATTCTGCAGCACTTCACGGCTGTCTTTGGAACCCTGACGAGATGAATGGACTTGAACTTTTTCCAGTTTTCGTCGTCTGTTCACGTGCGGATTCAGGACGAAAAATGATGTTCGCCTTGATCAGACAGAGCGAATGTTTTTGTGGTATGACTGCTAGAGAATTATGTTTTTTTCTGTTTGAACTGTCATCATGATTGAAGGAATTTAGTGTCATCTGCTGGTTACTATAAGTAGTGCTTCTTTCGGCTTCTGTCAGAATGGAAAAACTTGAGGAAGTTTGAAATTGCTTTTGAATTGGTGGAAAATGGCATTGGCAAAGCATACTTTTCAGGATAAGAAGCAGCCTGGAAGTATTGTGCGTGCAATGAGTAGGAAAGAAGGTGTTATTTTATTGTATTATAATATTTAATTTTTCGTTCCCAAAAACTAAAATGCAAAGCAAGAAAGTACATTGAAAAACCTGTAAGGAGAGAAATTGTTTTTGAATTGGTGAAAAATGGCATTGGCAAAGCATATTTTTCAGGATTTGGATCTCAAATACGGTTAGTAAAATGCTGATATCAGGATCTATATTCAGGTCTGCGATTTAGGAAAGTGTAATTGTTCATAAAATTTGGCTTCTTCCCTTGATTATTGCACGTTTCAGCAAAATTGCACATTCATAGTGAATTGTAATTTCATTGTCAACCTCAGCAGGCCTTTTTGCTCTGTCCCTTCGATAGCTCAGTTGGTAGAGCGGAGGACTGTAGATGATAATGCTGATATCCTTAGGTCGCTGGTTCGACTCCGGCTCGAAGGACACATTTTTTTCAATGTAAAGGCCTTCATCTTCATGAAGATGACTGTTGGATGCAAACTTTCAGAAAGATTTGTTGATTTTGCTAGTTGGCTCCAAGTGCGCAGTTGAAGTATCATTTTTCAAGGTTAAAACTTTAAAACTTTGATACATTTTTCCAGTCCAGCTTTTGTGTCATTTCTGAAAAGAAGTGAGAAAGTGACTAATGGTCACTCTGCCCAGTGTCAATGGATATGGATGTCAAACTTGGTTGGAGAAGTGTTGATATCTGGATCAAATTTTTCTTGATGAGACTAATTTGGATAGTTTTATAACATTACATTTTGATATGTATGCTGGATTTTGATGAGTATCACTGTGAATATGCAGTTTTTTAATTATGTAATTTTTCTTGTGTCATACAATGGACTTGCATCTCAAGTGTAGCTGGTAAAATGCTTATATCGGAGTCGATGTACAGGTCTGCGATGATGGAAAATGTAAATGGTCATTAAATTTGACTTCTGTTTTTGCTGAGATCGGGGTCTATGCATAGGTCTGCGATTATAGAAAATGTTAATGTTCATAAAATTTGACTTCTTTCTTTGCTCATTGCTCATTTCAGCAAAATTGCACATTTATACTAAGTTGTAATTTCATTGAGACCCCCAACAGACATGCTTGCTCTCTTCCTTCGATAGCTCAGTTGGTAGAGCGGAGGACTGTAGATGATAATGCTGATATCCTTAGGTCGCTGGTTCAACTCTGCCTCAAAGGACACTTTTTCTTTTTTTTTAATGTAAAGGCCTTCATCTTTGTGGAATTCAGATGGCTGTTGAACGTAAACTTTTAGAATGAATTGTTAATGCCAGTATTTGGCTCCAAGTGCACCTCTGAAGTTTCATTTTTCAAATTTAAATCTTTAAATCTTTGATACATTTTTCAAATGCAGCTTTTGTGTCATTTCTGAAGAGAAGTGAGAGAGTGACTGATGGTGACTCTGCCCAGTTTCAATGGATATGGATGTCAAAGATGGTTGGAAGTGTTGATATCTGGAACACATTTATCTTGTTGAGACTATTTTGGATAGTTTATTCACGGTAAGTTTTTATGTATATGCTGGATTTTGATGAGTATCACTGTGAATATTCAGTTTTTTTATTTAATTGTTTTTTTTTTGTGTCATACTATGGATTTGGATCTCAAATGTAGTTAGTAAAATGCTGATATCAGGATCTATATTCAGGTCTGCGATTTAGGAAAGTGTAATTGTTCATTAAATTTGGCTTCTTTTTTGATATCGTTTCAGCAAAATTGCACATTCATAAATTGTAATTTCATTGTCAACCTCAGCAGGCCTTTTTTGCTCTGTCTCATCGATAGCTCAGTTTTGCGGAGGACTGTAGATGATAAGCTGATGTGTTCATTTGGCCTTCATCATGGAAACAGACAAATTTTCATAAAATTTGACTTTGATTTCTGTTGGAGCATTTCAGCAAAATTTGTTGATTTTCATAGTAATTCAATAAAATTTCATCTTCATGAAGTTCAACTGTTTTAAAACTTTGCACATTTTCTAAGTTCAGCTTTTGTTGATTTTTAACAGAAAAAGGCTCTTCATAGCTCAGTTGGTAGAGCGGAGGACTGTAGATGATAATGCTGATATCCTTATGGATGTCAAACTCTGGTTGAAGAAGTGTTTTTTTAATGTAAAGGCCTTCAGTGAGACTAGATTTGGAACTTTTAGAATGATTTGTACATTTTTATATGTTGGCTCCAAAATTTTCATGATCAAATTTAAAATCTTTAAATCTTTGATACATTTTTCAAGTCCATGGATGTCATTTCTGAAGAGAAGTGTCAGTGACTAATGGTGACTCTTGATCAATGGATATGGATGTCAAAATGGTTGGAGAAGTGTTGATATCTGGAACACATTTATCTTGATGAGACTAATTTGGATAGTTTATTCATTACATTTTAAGTTTTATGTATGCTGGATTTTGATGAGTATCACTGTGAATATTGCACGTAATTGTTCTTGTTTTAATTCATACTATTTTTGGATCTCAAATACAGTTGGACTGATATCAGGATCTATATTCAGGTAGCTGGATTTAAAATTTAATTGTTCATAAAATTTGGCTGTACTTGATTATTCATTTCAGCAAAATTAAACATTCATAGTAAATTGTAATTTCATTGAGACCCTCAGCAGGCCTTTTTGCTCTGTCTTCTTCGATAGCTCAGTTGGTAAGCGGAGGACTGTAGATGATAATGCTGATATCCTTTGCTGGTTCACTCCGGCTCGAAGGACACATTTCAGCAATGTAAAGGCCTTCATCTTCATGAAGATGACTGTTGGATGCAAACTTTCAGAAAGATTTGTTGATTTCGCTAGTTGGCTCCAAGTGCACAGTTGAAGTATCATTTTTCAAGGTTAAAACTTTTAAAACTTTGATTTTTTTTCCAGTCCAGCTTTTTGTGTCATTTCTGAAAAGAAGTGTGAGAAAGTGACTAATGGGACTCTGCCCCATGTCAATGGATATGGATGTCAAACTTGGTTGGAGAAGTGTTGATATCTGGATCAAATTTTTCTTGATGAGACTAATTTGGATAGTTATAACATTACATTTTGATATGTATGCTGGATTTTGATGATGCAAACTGTGAATATTCAGTTTTTTAATTGTGTAATTTTTCTTGTTTGTGCATACAATGGACTTGCATCTCAAGTGTCATTGGTAAATTTGCTTATATTTAAATCTTTGATAGGTCTGCGATGATGGAAAAATGTAAATGGTCATTAAATTTCATTTCTGTTTTTGCTGAGACATGGGTCTATTGATGATGGTGCGATTATAGAAAATGTTAATGTTCATAAAATTTGACTTCTTTCTTTGCTCATTGCTCATTTCAGCAAAATTGCACATTTATACTAAGTTGTAATTTCATTGAGACCCCCAACAGACATTTTATTCTCTTCCTTCGATAGCTCAGTTGGATTTTGATGGAGGACTGTAGATGATAATGTTGATATCCTTAGGTCGCTGGTTCAACTGTTGCCTCGAAGGACACTTTTTTTTTCTTTTTAATGTAAAGGCCTTCATCTTTCATGAAGATGGCTGTTGGATGCAAACTTTGAACAGGTTGATTTGTTATTTGATGGATGATTTAATGGTCATTAATTTGGCTCCAAGTGCACCTCTGAAGTTCATTTTTCAAATTTAAAACTTTAAATCTTTGATACATTTCATAAAATGCAGCTTTTGTGTCATTTTTGAAAAAATTGACATTTGACTGATGGTGACTCTGCCCATTTCAATGGATATGGATGTCAAATGGTTGGAGAAGTGTTGATATCTGGATCAAATTTATCTTGGTGAGACTATTTTGGATAGTAACATTACATTTTGATATGTATGCTGGATTTTGATGAGTATCACTGCTGGTTCAGTTTTTTAATTAGGTAATTTTTTTTTGTAATGTCATACAATGGATTTCATCTCAAGTGTAGCTGGTAAAATGCTTATATGGATCTATGTACAGGTCTGCGATTGATGGATTGTAATAAATGGTCATTAAATTTGACTTCTGTTTTTGCTGAGATTTTCAAATGCTTTTATACTTTTTAAATTCATAAAATTTGAAAATTTTTAATTGTTCATTGCTTTTTCAGCTTTCTTTGCACATTCATACTAAGTTCATTTCAATGCTCATTTCTGAATTTGATTGCACATTTATGATAAAGTTGTGACTTTCAGTTTCAATGGATATGGATTTTTCAAAGATGCCTTTCTTCAGAGAAGATGACTGTTGATTTCAGAAAGATTTGGAACAATTTATCAGTTGATATCATTTTGAGACTTTAAAACTTTGATGGTTTTTAGTCCAGACACTTTTTTTTTCATTTTTGAATTCATCTTTGTGGAATTCAGATGACTGTTGGTGTAAACTTTTAGAATATTTCAATGGATATGGATGTCAAACTTGGTTCTGAAGTTTCATTTTGATATCTTTATCACTTTTTTCTTGATGGACTATTTTTGGATATTTTTTTGTGTACAGTTTCTGAAATGCTATATCTGGATTTTGATGACTATCACTTTCAATGGATATGGATGTCAAGTTTTTTAATTAATTTTTATCTGGAAAATTGACTTGTTGAGACTATCTTTGATGTTATTCACATTAAAATGTATTGCATATGAGTAAAGTGAATTTCATTAGATGAGTATCACTGATGATTTGTGTCATAAAATGCTTATCTCAAATCATGCGATGATGGAAAATTTAAATGGTCATAAAATTTGACTTTGTTTCAGAGATCAGGGTCTATGCATAGGTCTGCGATTATAGAAAATGTTAATGTTCATAAAATTTACTTCTTTCTTTGCTCATTGCTCATTTCAGCAAAATTGCACATTTATACTGAGTTGTAATTTCATTGAGACCCCCAACAGACATGCTTGCTCTCTTCCTTTGATAGCTCAGTTGGTAGAGCGGAGGACTGTAGATGATAATGCTGATATCCTTAGGTCGCTGGTTCAACTCTGCCTCAAGGACACTTTTTTTTTTTTTTTTAATGTAAAGGCCTTCATCTTTGAAGATGACTGTTGAACGTAAACTTTTAGATGATTTGTTAATGCCAGTATTTGGCTCCAAGTGCACCAGTTGAAGTTTCATTTTCAAATTTAAAACTTTAAAACTTTTTGTTTTGGATAGTCCAGCTTTTGTGTCATTTCTGGTTGGAGAATTGAATGGTATCTGGATCAAATTTTGATTTGGTGACAAACCTCTGTTTCATATGGATTCAAATTTGGAGAAGTGTTAATATCTGGATCACATTTTTCAATGAGACTAATGGATGTTTTATAAGATTTTGGATGACTGCTTGATTTTGATGAGTTTCACTGTGAATATATCTTTTTTAATTATGTAATTTATTTTTTGAGACTATTTTGATAGTTTATTCAATGGTTTTTATGTATGCATCTCAATCGAAGAGTATCACTGTAAATTTGCTGTTGTTTTATTCGTAATTGTTCTTGTTTGTGTCATACTATGGATTTGGATCTTAAAATACAGTTAGTGTTTTTGCTGATATCAGGATCTATATTCAGGTCTGCGATTTAGGAAAGTGTAATTGTTCATAAAATTTGGCTTCTTCCTTTGATTATTGCTCATTTCAGCAAAATTGCACATTCATAGTGAATTGTAATTTCATTGTCAACCTCAACAGACATTTTTGCTCTGTCCTTCGATAGCTCAGTTGGTAGAGCGGAGGACTGTAGATGATAATGCTGATATCCTTAGGTCGCTGGTTCAACTCGGCTCGAAGGACACTTTTTTTTTTTTTTTCAATGTAAAGGCCTTCATCTTCATGAAGATGACTGTTGGATGCAAACTTTCAGAAAGATTTGTTGATTTGCTAGTTGGCTCCAAGTGCGCAGTTGAAGTATCATTTTTCAAGGTTAAAACTTTAAAACTTTGATACATTTTTCCAGTCCAGCTTTTGTGTCATTTCTGAAAAAAGTGAGAAAGTGACTAATGGTCACTCTGCCCAGTGTCAATGGATATGGATGTCAAACTTGGTTGGAGAAGTGTTGATATCTGGATCAAATTTTCTTGATGAGACTAATTTGGATAGTTTTATAACATTACATTTTGATATGTATGCTGGATTTTGATGAGTATCACTGTGAATATGCAGTTTTTTAATTATGTAATTTTTCTTGTGTCATACAATGGACTTGCATCTCAAGTGTAGCTGGTAAAATGCTTATATCGGAGTCGATGTACAGGTCTGCGATGATGGAAAATGTAAATGGTCATTAAATTTGACTTCTGTTTTTGCTGAGATCGGGGTCTATGCATAGGTCTGCGATTATAGAAAATGTTAATGTTCATAAAATTTGACTTCTTTCTTTGCTCATTGCTCATTTCAGCAAAATTGCACATTTATACTAAGTTGTAATTTCATTGAGACCCCCAACAGACATGCTTTTCTCTTCCTTCGATAGCTCAGTTGGTAGAGCGGAGGACTGTAGATGATAATGCTGATATCCTTAGGTCGCTGGTTCAACTCTGCTCGAAAGGACACTTTTTTTTTTTTTTTAATGTAAAGGCCTTCATCTTTGTGGAATTCAGATGGCTGTTGGATGTAAACTTTTAGAATGAATTTGTTAATGCCAGTATTTGGCTCCAAGTGCACCTTGAAGTTTCATTTTTCAAATTTAAAACTTTAAAACTTTGATACATTTTTCAAGTCCAGCTTTTGTGTCATTTCTGAAAAGAAGTGAGAAGTGACTGATGGTGACTCTGCCCAGTTTCAATGGATATGGATGTCAAAGATGGTTGGAGAAGTGTTGATATCTGGATCAAATTTTTCTTGATGAGACTAATTTGGATAGTTTTATAACATTACATTTTGATATGTATGCTGGATTTTGATGAGTATCACTGTGAATATGCAGTTTTTTAATTATGTAATTGTTTTTTTTTGTGTCATACAATGGACTTGCATCTCAAGTGTAGCTGGTAAAATGCTTATATCGGAGATCTATGTACAGGTCTGCGATGATGGAAAATGTAAATGGTCATTAAATTTGACTTCTGTTTTTGCTGAGATCGGGGTCTATGCATAGGTTGCGATTATAGAAAATGTTAATGTTCATAAAAACTTCTTTCTTTGCTC